TTTTGTACATAATTCTGCTGTCCGACTTTTCTGACCTTTCCTCAGTTAAAAATTCATATATATTTGTATACAACTTGAAATTGATCCTCGTTTATTTTTACAAAACTAGATCCATATATGAACACTGTAACACCCCAACCCGTATCCGAGTCCGAAATGTCACATTGACTTTTCAAAAACCTTTACTTGTATAAAATAGTGAGTAATTTAAAATTTATTATTACATATAACTTATTCAAAACCTTTATCGAACTATTCAGAGCTTATACAATATATTATCTTGAATACATGCCAACTAGAAATTTATGTATTAAAATACATATTATTCACCTTTCTTCTGATCTGACCTTTGGTAAGAAGAACTGACCTGTCTTGCTCCACATTGCTCTTTACTCTTCTCACTTTGGTAACCTACGTGTGAAACAATCACACGCTAAGTCGATGACTTAGTGAGGTAATAAACATAAAATATAAACTATAGCCTGTAATCATGTATGAACCATTACTACTATCACTCATACCCTTATTCATGTAACAAATCCTTGTAACACATATGCAATATATATATCATTACATATAAAAACATATACACACATATATTCCTCACTCATCATTTCTATCATTAGCCTTATTTCACTATTCATATTACTATCATTTATATGTGTTGATCATATCCTCTTGAACTTAACCTTGTTAACCAACATATGCTTCGTGTAACCAAACAATACACATATCATCATATGACTCGTGCAATACACATATCAACATATATCACAAAAGCATATTTTTCACATGTAATATATTTATTGTTATATCTTTGTCTAGCCCATGTACATTTCTGAGAACTATAGATATGTGAGTTTATAGAGGTTGTGCACTAATACTGTCACCACAGCTTGTATAAATGCACCAAAGTGCCACGTAGAATTGTATCGTAGTGCTGCGTAGAAATGCACTGAAGTGCCATATAAGGTTGTCCCTAAGGACCACATATCATTCCTTAAGAATCATATACATATGCCAAGGATCAAGTATGTGTCTCAAAAGACCTCACACATGTTCCGAATAATACATATATGTCCCGAAGGACCGCGTAGACCCTCGACTCTTGGCATGCCAACTATACCTCTAGCTCTCATGACACATAACATGGGCATTAATCTTTATGTTATCACACATTCACATATACACACAGTCATTTTATTATATTTTTATAAGATCACACGTAGTCGAGTAGTTCATTTCCATATAAATCACATACACGTAGATCACTTGCACGTAGAACATCTTTATATAATCATATGATTCACTTTCACTTATCACATATACTTTTTCTTTCATATATCTCATGGCATATATCACACGGCTCTTTATTTCATTCTCATATGATCACATAATCATGTAGTTCCCTTCTCCTATCACTTTGCATGGTTTTACATAAACATATATCATACCTTATTCATATATATATATATATAAATATCCGCAAATACATGTAAGCCCATATTTTCTTAACTTATAACTTACGTTACATATGCATGTAATCTTATGACTTATTGTTAATTAACTCAAATAACATTGTATTATTACATACTTTGTTCCATAGCCATATATTTACATACCTTATACTTACCTAGTTTACTCTATTTCACACATAGTCACATAATCACGTAATTTACTTACACATAGATCATTTTCATACCTAAATCATATAACACCCAATTCTTCCTCATAAAGTTATATTTTATATTCATATAATATCATATTATCCTATAAGTACATACTTATCTTATGGTTTGGTATCATCATTTATACTCAATTCCCTTCACTAATATATTATTCTCATATTACTCTATAGTCTAATCTTATTTAACTCATCACCTTTCTCATGTAGTCATATAAATCTATTATATTGATTCTTATAATTGATCACGTATACTATTAACATGTATGGTCACCTATCATATAACCTATTTCACATTCCCATGCAATCATATAGACCATTCATATTAATTCCTATACTTATCACAATACATGTATTCACACAATCATTTAACACATTGTAATATATATCACATATACCCAAATCAAACATATGCCTATGATCATAAATTAATGCATTCTAATATAGGAAATAGACTCGTCGCAAGTCTTATTTCCATTAAACATCATAAACTAACTTGTATGCACTCACCTGAGCCTCACTAAGTTCCAATCCACTTTTATGCTTTCATCTCTTTCGATTGAATCTTGACTTGATAATCGTTCCGGGACTTGTTCGTGCTCGATATCTATATGATCATACATTGATACATATCAGTATCCAATTGATATACTCCAATCTATCATTTCGTAGACCAAAAGAAAGGTATAATTCTATTTCCCTTGAAGTGCATCGATGCATTCCTTATGCATCGATGCATAAATTGCATTCGATGTTTCCATTTTTAAGGGTGCATCGATGCACTTCCTGTGCGTCGATACACACTGAACAATTTCTGGAAATTTACCCTTGATGCATCGGTGCACCTTGAATGTGCATCGATGCACATAGGCCAGAAATCCAATTTATGCCTGAAAATCCCCTCCTTTCAACTTAATTACTTCATATATCATTCCATTTTGTATTCTTAACTTACTTCTATTCAAACTCATTTATCTCATCTTGAACCTTAATATCCTCTCCCTCTTTATTAACTTCAAGAATTATACCATATTTCCAACATGTTTCAAAACTCATTTTATCACTTCATATCTCTTAAATTAACCATTGACAAGTCAAATTTATCTTCCAATTTGAGTAATGAACTCTATTTCAAGATTTTACCCAAGAACCCCAAATCTTTAATCCCTCCTAACTCCATCATACTTTGATTTTAAGATAACTTAAGCTTTCCTTAAGCTTAGTTATCATCTAATAATCAAAACCTAACCTTAAAATCAACAATTAATCCATAAACAAAGAAACTCACCTTTGATCTTGGAGATACGAGGAGGAAGAAGAAGAAGAAAGAAAACTCTGGATAATTCACCTTTTCCACGTGGTTCCTTATCTTATAAAAGAAATACAAAAATCTTACTTGTCAATTGACCATTTTACCCTTTAATTCATTCCATAATTACTAAATAACCTTCATCATAATTACTAAATAACCTTTATCATATTTCCAATAAATCATTGAACTATTTAATTATCATACTTTAAGCACCAATTTCTAAAACTTTACAATTTGGTCACTAACCCGGTATTGAGGATGTTACAAACACAATATATAAAAATAAATTCCAAATTATTTTTATATATTTTCTGGTGAATTTTAGAACCAACTGCCAGAATCAAAATCCAAACTGTTTTCTTTAATTTCATCCTTAGGTTCTTCATCATTTCTTACAACCAATTCTTTAAAATCACTTAACTCTTCAAAACCCTAAAACACAAGAATCAAAATCCCCTTCATCAACTCAAGAATCAAAATCCCCTTCATCAACTCAAGATAGATTTGAACATGAAACCCTAATAATATTCATGTCAAAATGTAGAGAATTGAAAGTAGAATATTTTTCCTAACCACACTTAGTTAAATTCTCAAGAAATAGCTTCAAAATTGAAACTAAAAATGCTTACCTTTCTTGCTTGAATGTGCCGGCCCTTGGAGGAAGAAGATGAGCTGAAATGTTCCCCCATTATAGATATTCTAATGTTAATTCATCTAGCACATGGCTTAATATAAATTATAATGGAATTGTTTATTCAACACCATAGGAAATCCCATTTTTGCCCTTAATGAATCTCCATAATCACCATAAAACCAATCCATCTAATTATTATCATATTACAAAGTCAAACATAAATTATTTTGTCTTTGACTTCCGAAATTCACCTTGAATTTTTAAATCTTGTGTTTTAGTCACTAAATTCCACTGTTTCGGTTAAATCTGAAAAATTGCACATTTCCAAACCAACTTTCTCTGATCCAAAATATTAAAATAATATTTCCAACCATTTTATAACATCCTTCAAATTTTTGTAAAATTTCGATTCGATCAGAATTTACCGATTCCTTGCCGGCTTTAACTCATTCTTTACTAAATTCCAAATCCAACAATATGATTTCCATAAAACTCTAATCTCAAGAGTAAACCATATATTATGGAATAAAAATATTTTTAGGAAATTTATCACTTAATTCCCTAAACTTTTCCCAAGTTTTATACTTTGACCATCAAACTTTTAAAATTTCCATTTTGGTTATTGTCTAACTTTTTGGGGTATTACATGTTTGCCTTTTATTTGTTATATATGGTTATTTTATCTTTCGTTCAAGTAGATTCGTCTAAAGATCTAACTATTCTCCCATCCTGTATGAACCAAATCTTGGACAAAAGATTTACATATTGGATCCTGCCCCAACTTGAGTTTGTACATGGTAAAGAAAATTGGTTTTTTTTCAATTTAATTATAAAATTTTGAAATAGTTTACTATTTGGTGAATAATGATTTGGGTACAAAAGCCACAACCAAATTCATGGAAAGATATGTTATTAGATGCAGGACATGGAAAAACAAATTATATTACACGGCTGGATTCGATTATTGGTTTCAACTCTCGAGGTGCATGTCGTTTTAATCTATTCTATACATAAAAGAAAAATTAAGTACCAAAACAGAGCTATAAACATAATCTTTGGCCACCAGAATCACTTTGTATTAGTGAAGTCTTCCTAAAGACAATTGTTGTCTCTCTAATCTAAAAAGGGAGAGGCAGGGTATTACTTTGCCAAGAAGTCAAAATTCATGCAATCAAGAAGGAATTGAAACATAGGATAACCTGCATACTAACACCACACGTTTTCTGAGTTCATGTCATAATGGAACCTATTCCCCCCGAACCAAATCCAATAGCAAAGAGACTAAAAAAACGAATCATGTTAATCTAACTTATCCAACAATAGTTTAAACATGGAGAAAGCATCATCTATTTCCAAATTTCAATACTTCATCACACCAAGAACAAAAACATCCAGAAACAAGTTTTCTGCAACTTCAAGAAGACAATATCCTACAATAAGAATAGAAAAGACCATTGTGCTAAAATCCACCCCAAAAATACCCATTTTCATATGGAATTCAACGAAAACCCTTTAAAGAATCACTAGTCATGCCAGATCTTACATCAGTCCATGCTTTGGCAATTATTCTTTTCATATCCTTACCCCTTCCTCGTACATATTCTGCAATTTACACAAACATGCATTAATTTAGACATTGGGAATTTGTCAATAAAACACAAGCCATGAATAAATCATGGAATAAACTTTACCTTCATTAAGTTCATGATTTCGGCCATGGGATCTCGCTCTTTATCCAAGTTTGGCTTCAGCTGTGTGAAAATGAAAAATAGTATTAGTGTAGCTTAGTGGCAAAAAAAAGATGGAAAGTAATCTTATGGTAATCTAGGCAATTACCTTGTCCTCCTTGTAGTGTAGATCAGACCAGTTGCCTTTACAAGCTTTGAACAATGTGATGATGACTCTTGTAGGCTTAACTATCACCTTGCACTTCTCTGGTTCGATTTCCTTGTTCAATTTTGGAATAGCACACCTATAGTTTTTACCTTTAACGTCGCGGAATTTAACATCAAAAGACATCGGCTTGAAATTTGCCTGGATTTTCTCTTGTTCGACTCTTTCCAAAGATACGTATATCTGTTGTATAAACATAGGATCAACAATAAAAAAGCAACAAGGCAGAGGATGCAATGAAAATACAAAATAATTACTGCTATCACAAAGATGAAGAGAAATCTAAGAGAAGCTGCTAAGGGTGTTAATTGTTATCAATCTGAGAAGTTGCTAAGGGCGTTAATTGTTATCAATCCGAGCTCAAGAGAATCAAAATTTGGTTTGAAATAACAATTGAATTCACTTGGGATGTATTACATCCTTTTATTGTGTCAAAAATTTACTAAATTTTTCAGAATTTGATCTTGTACTTTATTAAAACTGAAAACCGAGAAGTTAGTCCATCTCTTGCTAAACACATAAAGTAGAACTATTGAGTTTTGCTAATCCGTGCAGATAAATTATTGAACTACTAGTCTACTACTAATATTCAGATTAGATTAGCTTCTCATTTTTCATAAACTAGGATGACCAAATTCCAACAACTTAAATCGAAATGACTAACTTCTCAAATTTCGTAAAGAAAAGATGGAATTAAAATCATACCAAGATTTTGGGTTCAATAAGTCAAATGGATAATTTGTCTTTTCAGGTTGCAAGGTTGGGGATTTGATATTTTATACTAGCAATGAAAATGTTCTAAATCTCTAAGAATATCGAAATTTCTTACCTTGACTTTATCGTTGTCTTGATCCCAGCTGAACGAGGCGAGTGTAACGTAACTCAGCGCTGGGTTAACCGGAGCCTTTGCTGAGGTTGCAATAGGAATTGGAATTTGTGGAGCAGCAGCAGGAGAAGCTCCATTTGCATCCTTTTTCAAAAAGAACTCAATAAACAGCCAAGAAAAATGCCAAACACCATTGAATATGAAATCTTCTACACTGCGAAAGCAAACCCCGTGAAAAGCCTCTAAGAAAAACCCAAAAACTAGAAATGTTCAGGATATCTAAATTAGATTCAATATGAAGAATCGAATCAAAATAACATGATGACGTTTTATTCAAAACTTCAAAATTTCAATATCCAAGAAAAGGGGGGGACCTTTTCCAAGTTCCGAATCTCAGAGGAAATAAAAGATAAAATACGTGGCCTCTTCGCGATGCATTGAAGCTGCTTAAGCTCCTCCAAATCTAGCGCCAATTCTTTTGCCATTCTTTTCCAACCTTGAGAGAATTGCTGGGCTCTAAGCTTCTTCTCGTCATCAGCAGGAGAAGGAATTCTCGTCTTTAGAAGGCTCCAAGCAAAACCTAATACACCAGAAGTAGAAATCAACGCCAAATTGAAGAAGAAGAAAATTTTGTTTCAACAGAACCAAACGGGGAGAATGATATTTTAGGAAGCAGGGGACGGGAATAAGAAAATACCTAAGGGAGATGGGGGAATAACATTCCTGGAGAAACAGGAAAAAAAAACACTGTTGGTATTAATTTTTGACTGGTATTTGAGGATGTGGAGAAACCAAACGTGGTATTTTCAACAAAAAAAACATTCCCCCTAGAAATGAAATATTCCATGAACCAAACCTGGCCTAAGAAGTTGGGCCACATTGTGCATGACATTTTAGCCACCGGCTGCTTTTGGGACGTCTGCTATGATATGTACGAATGAATGTTATTGGGAAGTAGTTTAGGCACTTAGGCTAGGAGTCCAGATTATTAATATCTTAATCAACTAATTCCGATATAAAATGTTATAAATATTTATTACAATACGACTCATATCTGAAATCACCATTTCTTTTATTATTATCATTATTATTATTATTATTATTATGTTAAATTATAAAAGTTACAAAAACACAAAAAAAGTCAAAAATCAAGGACATATCCCGTGAAATTCGGTTGCCTAGCTGCCTGCACATGACACGACGATCGTCTGTCACCGCCGCCTGACCCGCTGGTCACCTGCAACAAGCCTCCATCAACAATCACATGCAATCTGCAAAGTAAGACAACAACAATATGCAATCAAATGTTTTATTTGTTCTGAACATGGGTTCTCTATAAAACCCAACAACTACAACATGTAAAAGGGACTCTGATTTCAACATAAAGCAATAAAAATAATCTTTCAACAACCCTTTTTTATTTTCTATATTCTCCTATTAGAAATAATACCCAAAAAAATCATTTTCATCTTTTTATTTGAAGATAACAAAAAAAATGAGCAAAAACAAAGGAGATGTTACCCATTCGACCAAAGTCTCTTGCCGGTTATGGGAGCCTCTGATGACAGATCTCAAAAGATGAGAATAGGCTCGGGAAGGAAAGGAACATCATGTCTTGAAATCGCTTCGATCGGACGGTGGCTAGAGGCAGTCAGAGCCATAAAGCCGAATTGTTTCGGCCTTGTTTCACAGTACTAGTAGCTGTTTTACGTGAAGTGGAGGTCGATATGCAACCACCGCGGTGAGATGAACAAGTCCAGAAAATTTTATGGCAAACGGCCATCGAAGTCGACGACCGACGCGATAACCAGTGACGACGACAACAGAGATGCCCTTGCCGGCTTCTGGACGAGACTAGAGAGGGGAGAAAGTTAGACGGAAGAGAGAGTGTGTGTGTGGGTTTAATACAAAATGAAAAAAAAACAAAAAATGACTTATTTATAGGTGTTCTAAAATGGCACCGTTGTGGGGACTTTCTAGCTGTCTCAAAACGACGTCGTATAGCTCAATGCGTGCATTTTGAAGCCTAATGGGTTAACCCTCTTCGCAACCATCTCACCTTTCCTTTCTTACAATTTAGTCACTATTTTTAGCTTATTTCGTGATTTTATTAAACTAAATTATCGTTATTTTGTTATTTTTCCATTTTATGTTCTAATGTTACTTTTGGTTTATTTCTTTTCGGGTCCCTCGATATAAGATGTGCTTTCACATTTTGGTTCTTATTCTATCTATTTATTTAATTACATGCCTAATTTTGCATTTATTTTAATTTAACAACTTTTTTATATGATCAATTAATTATTATTTTACCCCTGAACATTATGTAAACTTGCAATTTAGTCTCTATTTTCTTACCTTATTTCAATTTAGTCCTAAATTGTAAATTGTCTATACTAACTTTATTTTATTTTATTTTCATTTCAGGTTATTTGAGGTAACTTCTTATTCATTCAAATTTAAATCCTTTTATTCAAATTTTAGTCCTTAGAATAATTGCATTTTCAAGTTTAGCCCCCTTAGGTTTAGATTTTTACACTTTAGTCCCTATACTTTTTTCACAATTAGGTCCATAAACTTTAGTTTTGTTCACACTATAGTTCCTAGACTTTAGAGCTCTCACATTTTAGTCCTTACTTTTAACTAGAATTTTCAATTAACATAATCGATTAGGGTAACAATTATAGCCTACACCTTAACTTTAAATTCATCTTAGTCCTTTACTTAAGGGATGATTTAATTTGATTTGAGTTTTCGCTAAAAAATTCCCAATTGCTCAAATCAATTATCCGGTTCAATAATTGGTTGATAAAATCAGCTAGGGTTAGGGATGGCAAACGGGTATAGTTTTGTGGATTCCGCACCGCACCCGCTCTAATTGGGGCGGGGATGGGTATAATTTTAGCGGGTAGTGGGCAGGTTTGGATTTAGAAAGTGATACCCATCATGGGTAGTGGGCGGGTAATGGGTTTGAGACATTACCCGCCCCGCATCCGCCCCGTATCCGCCCGCCCACTTTCTATTATATATGTAGGTAGTAGTGAATTTAAATTGGAGTGCTCTCAATTGGAGGAAATAGAGAATGATGATTGTAATACTGGAGTATCAGATGTCACAAGTATTGCCTGAAATTTTAGAATATTGTGCCAAAGAACAAAAACATTATGTGTTTGTCATTTATGTTTATAAACTTTAATTATGTCTTTTATTATGGTGTTTTATGTACTTTAAGATCTATATTAAAATTTAACTCAGATAATCCTTGGATTATTTTATTATGTTTTTTAATGGATATGTTTCTTAATGGAAATGTTTTTTTATGTTTGTTGCTTATATATAACTTAAGTTTGCTTTCATACGGGTCTAGACGGGTACGTCGCTAGTGGGGATGGATTTGAGAATGTACCCGTGTGGGCGGGTGTGGATTTGAAAATTTGTACCCATTATGGGTGGTGGGCGGGTGGTGGATTGAAAATATTGCACCCGACTCGCCCGTTTGCCATCCTTAGCTAGGGTTAATATTAGACTCATTTTAGGTTTAATCCTCTAGATTCTTTAATTACATAATTTAATAACTTTAGGTAGGAAATCCCTTAAATTACGCATCTAGTAAAATTAGGCGTTTAAATCAATTGTTTGATTACATTTAAAAAAAACCTAAGGCAATGTTCACTTATTAGGGAGTTAACGATATATTTCTCGCAAATATGCTCAGAGTTAACTACTGGTGATTCCCAAAGTAGGTCGACATCCTTTTCAAGACCGCATCATGATTTCTTAAAATCAAGACAATGTCCCGTTATTGGGTATAATAGTTTATCTCCCACATTCATACTAAGGGCGAATACTATTGACTTAAATAAACGAACATCCTTTTCAACCTTGCATTTATAGTAAATTTTTTATTAAATAAAGTTCAAACACAAGATTTCCATCTTTTTAAATATATGGTAATCAACTAAGTACAACTTTTTGGCGCTGTGAGGTGCTAATCATTCTATACGCGTAACCAACTAACGATATTGATTTTTAATTTTCATAGACCCAAACTCGATATTTTTATAAAATACAAATATTTTTATTAATAGTCGTACTATTTTTTCTCATCCGGACGAAAAACGGTGACGACAATATCATATCTTATAATTATGTAGATATTTTTTTGAAAGAATTATGTAGACATTAATCTTAATTCCAAACTGAGTGAGTGCCACGTGATTGACCATAGATTGATTTAGGAATGTCATTCAAATTTGGCCAACTTCACCTATATACAAAGTACTATTATCTTTCTTTTCTTTGAAGAACTTTATTGGGATAAATTCCATATAAAGTTGCCTCAAAGATATAAGCTACACAATCAAAATTGAAATAGGAGTCATCCATGGTTGCCCCTAAGCAAAAGACTAGAGAATCAGATATGGAAGTCGCCAGTGATTTAAGGGAAATAACGTGTCATAAATACAGTCAATAACGAGTCGGGTTTTTTTTTCAGAAAGGGTAGGGGGTAAAAGCGTTGTTTTCATTGGGGACAAAAGTCTGTGTTTGTGGCCAATGCATAATAATGAAGCAATCGTTTATTGAAAACAAACACTGCAGCATTATAACCGGCACAAAGGGAAATGAAGAATTTGATGTGATGAGACATTTCAAACTTACTATAATCTCTCTCTCTATAAATGAACCATTTTTGGGGGATTGGACGAAATGCTTCATTTAGACTCTTTTCTTTTCTTTTGACAAATCATTTACTCTTTTCAAAATCACTATTGAATGGAACCACATCCCAAAGATCAACAAAAAATCAATCCATGACACGCACGTATAAAGGTTTTACAAGTTCTAAACAGGGACACCAACGTCGATAGACATCAACGTTTTTTCAAGGAGAAAAAAATAGGTTTTTTACCTGCCATAGGTAGCCTAGCACATATCTTAATCGGTAGGGCCGAAAAGGCCCCAGTCATTTACTTTGAAGTTTGTAACGGCTAGCTTAAAGATTTCTACCATTGGCATGAGTCCAGATTGCATAGCGGGGGTAGCTAATCCTGCACCAACTGCACTCGCACTTTCGCTCATAGGACTGCCAGCATAATATGTAACAGCAACAGTGTTAACAAAATCGATGGCATACTCCCGTAGTCAAGGAGGTGGTGAAATGTTGAGTAAAAAAGAAATGGCTACTAAGAAAGACTTTATAATATCATATTTGCATTTACATAGTCTTAAATGACAGAAAGTCAGGAAACGATATATCTTTCTTTTGCTATTGAGAAAGAACAGCAGCAGTGAAGCTCTGACACTTACTTTATCAAGATGGACCTTCGTTAACATTCATTAAGAAACATGTTATCAATTTAGAAGAACTGAACAAAAACTGTGAAAACTGGAAACACAGGAACAGTCGTTACCTTGATAATATTTTGTGCTTCTCTTCCTTGCCGTCCCTTCGAAACAGCCTATGCATAAATAATAAAATTAATCATAGAAGGTAAAAGATACGAGAGACAGTTGGGGGATCATTAAGGAGTGATACATGCATCACAAGGCTCACATCAAAGGAAGAAGTAATAACTCTTCCAAATGATCCACTTGTCCAAGCATTGGAAAAGAAGATCAGAATAGAAGCATACTTACGACGACTTTTTGAATGGGATCCTGATCTTATTTAGTCAAGATGTCTTCTGGAGATACAACCGTCTGTCTTTTATCTTTCCAACGGTTCTTGAATCGCATCAATCCGATATCGGGAACTCAAGATATGGTTATTTTACTGAAGACGGTGCATGCAGAAAATCCTATACGGGATTTTGTAAATATTACGAATTTTCAATATTTTTATTGATTATTTGTAATATAACTTAATATAGGATGATGCATTATCTTTTAGGATTAGATTTATTATTTTATTAGGAATTAAGATTGGGTTAAAAATATTATCTTTAGTTATTATTATTTTATTAGGAATTAGAGTTAATATATGTTTAGTTTATTATTATTTTATTCATTAGTTATTTAGGATCTTTAGAACTCAGCCCCTGTATAAAGGAGGCTTCATTAAACTTTGTAATTAAGATTTCTTTGATCAATAATACAACAAGAGTTCGTTTTTGCAAGTGTTGATTGCCTTGTGCCTTCGAAGCTTATTCTCCTGGAGTTCTTTCAAGTTCTTGTGAGGGAGATTAATCTTCACACTCCAATTTGCCTTTTCATCGCGACTAGGAGGGTTGGTTAGAGCCATATTATCGTGTTTGCTTTTTCATTGCGACTAGGAGGGCTCGATAGGACATTATCCATCGATTTTCCACATCCATCCACGCCATCAATCATCTTTACCGTTCACTTCAATAAGGGAGATCTTTGATTTCTTGGTTATTTTCTCTATTCTTAATTCATTTATCTTTTGTTTATCTTATTTTAATCTTGTTTCTTTTCTTGTTTCTAGCACTAAAAGAAACCCTAAAGAATCCTAGCTATTGCCGCCACCTTTCTCATTCATTCCTTATTGTTCTTCATCGAGTCTAGAGCTTTTCTAGGTTTGATTCTTCAACAAGAGCAACGTTCATCAATCCGCCACCGCTTCCCTATCAATTGGTATCAGATTTGGGCCGATTCTTGGAGAAAAACAAGCAATCTTGCTTGTTCTTGTACACAAAACCGTCAAGGTACCCCAACGGAGCTAGTTCACAAACGATTCAGCGTTTCAGGTTCTTTTTATTTAATTTTAATTTAGATTTAAATTATTCTTGTTAGTTTGCTATTTTTTTTCAAAAAAACAAAAACAAAGCAAAAAAAGCCAAAAAGCCAAAATTTCAAAAAAAAAATTGCAAACAAATGTATTTAGGGCTGATTTTATGTATAAATTATATTCATTCTAAGAGTAATCCCCAGTCCAAATTTCACCCCAATCGGAGTTCATTGGAGCCTTCAAATACATCATTCAAGTTTCATCGACAGATTCGGTTTAGAATCTTGTCGAATTTCTTGAAAATTTTACAGGAGGAATTTCATGGTGAAAATTTCCAGATTGAAACTTCATATATTGGAGATCATTCACACAAAATATCAGAATTTTTGGAGATCAAGAACAACTTCGAAAAAAGTGATCAAGAAAAACATATTGTTTGAGGACTCACCGTTCAACAGAGTCTACTGGATACTACTGAAGGTATTTGGTTTTGAAATTTTACAGGTGGTTTCTTGACGCATCGAAAGACATTCAAGAAATTTTTCAGAATTTTTGGACACCGGTAACCCCCTCAAAAACGTTGCTCAAGTTGATTCAGCGTTTTCTAGGTTTTCTGGTTTGGTCCCTTTTCTTTGACTCTTAGTGCTTTAGGTTCTTTTGTTTTTCCATGTTACTGTTCTTTTGCATTATCTAACACATTATCTTCTTTGTGTTAGTAGGACTAAAGAGTTTGCATACTTCTTCCTTCTTTGCATTCTCGTTCTCTTGGAGTCTAACCTTTGTTTGGCCTCTTAGAGCTTTTAGGTTTTTCTTATCGCCTTTGCTAGTAATCAAACTCCGATACGAACTGTGAAAGACTACTTGGTAAAGTGAGTTTTAAAGAGTACAAGATCGGCTTACTTGCCTCTCGTTGTGTTACTTTCTTGGAGTGACTTGTGAGGTTTCTCTTTGTTGAATTTTCTTTCTTTTATTTTTATTTTACTTTAAAATTTTCTTTTGAGTGTTATGATTTCAGAATGGGCGACACTAACAACAAGACACTTACGGCTATCTTAGCCACACTTGCCCGACTCACGACTCAAGTTGAAAGATTTGATGAAATCGTGAGAGAACGACAAGAACCAATACTGGATCTACCAAACCATAATCCAAGACCAAACAATGCTGAACTTTTGGTACCCGAGAAAGAACAACCACGTTTCCAAGCACCCAAACTCTTTACAAAACCAAAGTTCACGATCCCGTCTTTCAAAGGAGACAACGATCCAGACAGGTACATCGAATGGGAAGGAAAAGTTGATCTCA